TCTGTGGGCTGCCTTTTTGTCTTGGTGACTGTGTCCTGTGCCTTACAGAAGCTTCTCGGTTTCAGGATGTCCCATTTATTGATTGTCGATCTCACTGTCTGTGCTAGTGGTGTTACGTTCAGGAAGCTGTCTCCTATACCAATTCGTTCAAGGGTACCACCCACTTTCTCTTCTAAGAGGTTCAGTGTGGCTGGATTCATGTTGAGGTCTTTGATCCATTTGGACTTAAGTTTTGTGCATGGCGATAATCATGGATCGATCCACATTCTCTACATGCCAGCCTCCAGTTATGCCAGCACCATTTGTTGAAGATGCTTTCTTTATTCCATTGTGTATTTTTAGCTTCTTTGTCAAAGATCAGATGTTCATACATGTGTGGGTTAATATCCATGTTTTCAATTTGATTCCATTGGTCTTCCTGTCTGTTTTCGTGCCAACACCAAGCTGTTTCCAGGACTATAGCTCTATAATAGAGCTTGAAGTCAGGGATAGTGATGCCTCCGGACGTTGCCTTGTTGAACAGGGTTGTTTTGGCTATCCTGGGTCTTTTGTTTTTCCATACAAAATTGATTATTGTTCTTTGAAGGTCTGTGAAGAATTGTGCTGGGATTTTAATGGGGATTGCATTGAATCTGTAGATTGCTTTTGGCAGGATTGCCATTTTTACTATATTGATCCTACCTATCCAAGAGCATGGGAGATCTTTCCATTTTCTGAGGGCTTCTTTAATTTCTTTCTTTAAAGATTAAAAATTCTTGTGATACAGGTCTTTCACTTGTTTGGTTAGCGTTACCTCAAGGTATTTTATGATGTTTGTGGTGATTGTAAAGGGTTATATTTCTCTGATTTCATTCTCAGCCCTTTTATCATCTGTATATAATAGGGCTACTGATTTTCTTGAGTTGATCTTGTAGCCTGCCACTTTGCTGAAGCTGTCAATCAGCTGTAAGAGTTCCCTTGTAGAGTTCTTTGGGTTATTGACGTAAACTATCATATCATCTGCAAACAGTGGAAGTTTGACCTCTTCCTTGCAAATTTGTATCCCCTTGATCCCCCTTTGTTGTCGAATGGCAATGGCTAGAACTTCAAGTGCCATGTTGAAAAGGTAGGGAGAAAGTGGACAGCCTTGTTTTGTTCCTGATTTTAGAGGAATTGTGTTGAGTTTCTGTCCATTTAGTTTGATGTTGGCTGTTCGTTTACTGTATATAGCTTTTATTATGTTTAAGTATGTCCCTGTTATCCCAGATCTTCCCAAGACCTTAATCATGAAGGGGTGTTGGATTTTGTCAAAGGCTTTTTCAGCATCTAGTGAGATGATCATGTGATTTTTGTTTTTCAGCTTGTTTATATGGTGGATTACTTTGATGGATTTTCGTATGTTGAACCATCCTTGCATCCCTGGGATGAAACCTACTTGATTGTGGTGAATGATTGTTTTGATGTGTTCTTGGATCCGATTTGCGAGTATTTTATTGAGCATTTTTGCATCAATGTTCTTGAAGGATATTGGTCTGAAGTTCTCTTTCTTAGTTGTGTCTTTGTGTAGTTTGTGGATCAAGATTTTGAAGCCTCATAGAAAGAGTTTGGCAAAGACCCTTCTGCTTATATTGTGTGGAATACTTTGAGAAGAATTGGTATAAGCTGTTCTTTGAATTTCTGGTAGAATTCTGCACTGAGGCCATCTGGACCTGGACTTTTGTTGGTTGGGAGACTTTTGATGATTGCTTCTATTTCCATAGGGGATATAGGTCTGTTTAAATTGCTTATCTGTTCTTGATTTAGTTTTGGCAAGTGATAGCTATCCAGGAAGTCGTCCATTTCATTTAAATTTTCGAATTTTGTGGAGTACAGGTTTTCAAAGTATGACCTGATGATTCTCTGGATTTCCTCATAGTCCGTTGTCATGTCTCCCTTTTCATTTCTGATTTTGTTAATTTGCATGCTCATTCTCTGCTGTTTGGTAAGTTTGGACAAAGGTTTGTCTATCTTGTTGATTTTCTCAAAGAACCAACTCTTCCTTGCATTGATTCTTTGTATTGTTTTCCTGGTTTCTACTTTATTGATTTCAGCCCTCAATTTGATTATTTCCTGGCGTCTACTCCTCCTGGGGGAATTTGCTTCTTTGTGTTCTAGAGCTTTCAGCTGTGCTGTTAATTCTCTAGTATAACTGTTCTTCAGTTTTTTCATGTGGGCACTTAGTGCTATGAATTTCCCCGTAGCACTGCTTTCAAACTGTCCCATAGGTTTGGGTATGTTGTGTCTTCATTCTCATTGAATTCGAGGAAGTCTTTAATTTCTTTTTTTATTTCTTCTTTGACCCAGGAATGGTGCAGTTGAGCATTATTCAATTTCCATGAGGTTGTAGGTTTTTTGCAATTTGTGTTGTTGTTGAATTCTAATTTTAAAGCATGGTGGTCTGATAAGATGCTTGGAGTTATTCCAATTTTTTGTAGCTGCTGAGGTTGGATATGTTGCCAAGTATGTGGTCGATTTTTGAGAAGGTTCCATGTGGTGGTGAGAAGAAGGTATATTCTTTTTTATGTGGATGAAATGTTCTATAGATGTCTGTTAATCCCAGTTGGGTCATTATTTCTATTAGACCCTTCGCTTCTTTGTTGAGTTTCTGTCTGGTATTCCTGTCTAGTGGTGAGAGTAGCGTGTTGAAATCTCCCACTATAACAGTGTGGGGCTTTATATGTGATTGAAGTTCTAATAATGTTTCTTTTACGAATGTGGATGCCTTTGTATTTGGGGCATAGATGTTCAGGATAGACACTTCATCTTGTTGGATTTCACCTGTGATGAGTACGTAATATCCTCCTTCATCTCTTTTGATTGATTTTATTTTAAAGTCTAGTTTGTTAGATATTAGATATTGATTTGATGAATCAGCTATGATTAACAAATGATTAGCATGAGTAGCTAAAACTGCATTTCATTGGTCATATAAGGCAGAAAGATAATAAGTTATTATAAAGAGATCAGTGCTGCTGAGATGAAATCATCCCTGCTTCATTCAGAAAAAAAAACGGGAAGTGGTCAGCACACAAAATCTAAGTTTGTATGTGGCCAAGGTTTCCAATGTTTCCTCTTGGAAAAGGAACACTGGAGCTATATTTCATTTATCTTTGGAGGAATGACAGTCATTCTCAATGATTCTGTAAGACTGCCTTTCGTTTGTCTCTCACACTATATCTCCTCAAACAACCTCATACAATTCACTTTGTGCCACTTTTGTTCTAGCTAGCTTTATGTCAATTTGACATAAGCTAGAATCATATTAGAAGAGTGAACCACAATTATGAAAATTCCTCCACCAGTAACTTGCTATTAGGCAAGCCTGTGGTCCATTTTATTGATTGACAAATGATGTGAAAGGGACCAGATCCCTGTGGGTGTTACCCCTGTTCTGGTAGTACCAAGTGCTATAAGTGAGCAGAAGAGAAAGGCATTGGAATTAAGCCAATAATTAGCATTCCTACATGCACCCTGCATCAGTTCCTGGCTTGATTTCCCTGTATGACAGGCTATCTAAAAGAAAAAATAAACCCTTTCCCATGCCCAAAGTTTCTTTTGGTCATACTTTTTTATTTCTGCAACAGAAACATTTACTAAGACTCACTGAATGAGTGCACCACATGATTGAGCTGTTTGATGTTCCATAATACGTTAAGAATTTTCTTTTTATAATTTATTGATATGATGCTGTCTGTCAAGAGTCTTTGCTCATTCCAGATGGCATAATGAGTACATAGGTACAAAAGCACATATTTTGAAATTATGGTTGATAAAATACTATTTCCCTTTACCCAAATCAGTCCCTTAGTTGGGGATATTTTTAGCCCTTTGGTCTGAAATGAAAGAGGATAGTAGAGACACTTCAATTACCATTTTCTGTATAACCATTGTATATCCTCCTATTTTCTCCACTTACACTGCAACTGTTCCTATTGTTAAGGCACATCTCTAGATCTAAATTTCTATGGGCTTGTCAGTTAAATCAGGCTGACTTATTCACTATAGTGTTGACATTATTTGGGTGTTGTAGTTTATATTCACTGTTAATTTCACAGACTCTATAATCATACATAATAAGATTCTGGCAACACCTGTCAGATATTATCTTGATTTTGTTAGCCTCTGGGAATGTCTTTATGAAGTTACTTCAAATAGGTGATTTGAAGTTGGAAAACCTGCCCTAAACGTAGGCAGAGCTGTTCCCTGGGCTTGGGTCATGGACTGCATGAAAAGAAGAAAACAAGTCAAATGTGTCATTTGCTTTTCTCTGCCTTCTAACTGTGGTTACAATGTAATAAACAGTCTCGATATGCTGCCACCATGACTCCCTAGAACTATGAACTATAGACCTCCAGGCAATATTACCTCTTCTTTCAAGAATTTAGCTTGGGGCTTTCTTTGGGGAGTCCATCAAGCTAGCCCATTCCATCCAAGTTAGACCTAGTTAAAATTGTTTCATTGTTCTGTACTTCAAGCTTTGTCTGTGGTAATATTTTTTCTTTTACATATATTTCACAAGAACAAAGAAACCCATAAAAATGTAAGGAACATAACAGAATACTTGTTGAGCTAATTAGGTTAGGATAGCATGAAAATGTTCTGTATATAATGAATTGGAGTACAAGGAGAATAAAAGATGGGATGAGATGCTGCAGATTTTGAAACTTTAGGAAAAGAAATATGTATTTAAGGATTAAATGAGAGAGCAAAGAAATATGGGGAAAATCTTCAAATGTATTTTGACAAATGCATTGTAGAGATGCTTTACAGTAATGGGCAACATAGTTTGGTAAATTTTATCTGGTGAACAGTTGTAATTTTTGAGGGATTGGAAACATGCTTGCTTTAATTTTAATGAATGTTGAGGATGATGCAAGGTGTCAATGTATTCTAACATTCATTGCCATATCTACTATGTTCCCAGATTATTTACCTTCAGTAACAGTAATTAAAATCCAGAACTCATGAGACTAAGTGTGCAAGAATTTATTTGATGAAAATCCAAAAGCCACTCAATGTTGTTCTTAGGCATGGTTCTGAATTTGGAAATTTTATGTAACTGTCTGAAGAATACTTGTAATTACTCCTTGTAATTTTGGATTTTCAAGTGTCTGTAAGTTGGAAATTCATTTTAAATACTAGAATGTATTCGAAAACGTGGTGTAAGTGTGAAAGAAATGGAAATTGTGCCACCCACTAAAAATAAGAAAGAAGAGAGAGTTGCCATTGCCAGTGCAGTGCCAACTTTCTGAGTATCTGGGAAGTGTGGTATGTGGAAAGATGGCGGGAAGGCAATCCCTTCCTTGCGAATGATGGATAAATAATTATACAAGATGGAAATGAAGATTAAGACACTAGCAATGATGTCCAGAAGGCCCGGGAAGAAGAATGGATTGTAGGTGTGTTTCTTCTGGAGGCTCCTTGAGTACAATTTCCTAAGAGCAACAATGACAGAAACGGTAGAAATCATGCCGAGAATGCTGGAGATCAGTAGCAGGTGTTGAGCAACACGAATATCCAAAGGAATGAAGTTGTCCTGGTAGGTATATTGGTAACACGCTCTTAAAATGTTGGAATTGATTTCCTGGTGGTACACACAGGTTCTCCACATCCCCACTAAAGTCAGGTTGGGCTTGGAATCCATGGGTTCTTGGAAACACCACACTCGCCATTGAGGGAGGTTCATAGAGACACTGCAAAGGATCCATGCTAGTGTGGCCGCAGCAAAGCCTCCTAGCTGCCTGCTGGCACGCCTGCTGACCATTACAACAGTGACACTGAGCACCTGGCAACTGCAAAGAAACACAGAGCATTGTGAGGATGGGCTCTTCAGGCCTGGGAGACTGTCCCCTCTTGGGACAGTACTAAGAGAGAAGCATTAAGATGAGCTGGTGGTCCTTTTACCAGGAAATCTCCTGCAGGGAGTGTGTTCTGACTGAACTCAGAAGAGCTGGCCCTGTAGTAGCACTTACTAGCCCGTTAACATTCCACACAGCATCTAAGATTTTCATCTTCAACTGTTTAGAGACTCACGATGAATTTTGACCCTAAATATTTATCCTTCTAGATACTGGAACTAAGAATCTTCTTCAAGCACAGCAACTGGATAATATATGCAATATCCATAGCAAGGTGTTATATGCCAACCTTATAGATAGAAGTGTAGTCATACATTTAAGTTGTGGTATTTTTATCTCAGTATATTTAACTATTCGTTTTTTGTGACACTGTATGTTTCTTTATCCCAGGCTAGCCTAAATCTGTGTCCCCAATGTGACCTTCAGCTATAGGCAATCCTGTTTTCTCTCCTTTTCAACAGCCACCATGTCAGGTAACCAATGTCATGTTTTCAAAGTTTGTCCGTGCTTCAGCCAGTTTGAAAAGATTGTCAACTTTCATACTGTTTTCTCATTGTATGGATGACTGGTACATTTTCTGATCAAGCACTGAGTTTTTATATCTGGATTAATACCAAGCTTTGTTTATAATTAATGTTGCCATGTGCACTGGGCATGAGCATATCAAGTATAATGTATACATACATATATACATACATATGTTATATTGATATAAATTCTCATTTCCCTTGGTTTTAGACTAAGGAGTATAATTGTATAATACCATGTCTAGTATATATTTTAGAATGTACTAAATTGAAGACAGTACTAAATATAGAAAACATACAGTAGAAAGAAATCAAATGAAGTTATAATAACTGAAGCATAGTCTACAACTAAGAACTCAAATGTCAAAACTACAAAATGACTACAACTAACAATATTTCTCAATAATAACTTTAAGCACCCATGGTCTGTGCTTTACAATCGGAACACTCATGTTGGAAAAGAAACAATTTTTTGTGTGGTGTATAAGGAACTCATCTTACCTTCAAAGTGAGAATCCACTACAAATGGGAAGGATGAAAAAAGTATATTAAGCAAATAGGAACAACAAGCAAGCAGTTTTCTCTACCCTAATTTCATAAAAAAATGGACTTCAAAATAAATGAAAACACACAAATAAGGATGTTTCAGGCATACATCATCCAACCTCTCCATCCAGGCAGGTCACACCCTTCCCCAGGGTCTAACCTAGTGAGTCTCCCTTGACCCTCCCCTGACACATATACTTCCCAACCACTATATCTATCCCTGAGACTGACACCTATAGCCAAGCCTAGTCCAACCATCACTGTCTGCACCTCAAGAAACTTCTAAGTTTCTTCCAGGAACCACCCTACCTGCCCTCTATCTGTTAGCCTCCTCCCATATCACATCAAATCTTTCCTTCCAGTCATATATATCTACTCCCATAGTGTAGACTTGAACCAGGAAGCACATCTTTTTAAAAATTAATTTTCATTTTACATACCAACCCCAGTTCCCACTCCTTTCCCTTCTCCTGTCCCCCCACCTCCCACCCTTCCCATCCCCAATCCACTCTTCTGAGGTGGTAAGGCCTTCTTTGGAGAGTCAACAAAGACTCTCATATCAAGTTGAGGCAGGAACAAGCCCACTTCTGCTGTATCAAGGATGAACAAGGTATCCCACCATAGGGAGTAGACTCCAAAAAGCTGATTTGTGCCCCTGGAATAGATCCTGGAGCTACTGCTAGTCCACCCCCAACAGATAAAGCCGCGTAACTGTCACCCACATTCAGAGGGTCTAGTATGGTTTCATGCAGATGCCCCAGCTGTCAGTCCTTAGTCCATGAGCTCCCTCAAGCTTGGGTCAGTTGTCTCTGTGGTTTTCCCCATCATGGTCTTGACCCTCCTTGTTCACATGATCCCTCCTTCCCCTCTTCAACTGAACTCCAGGGGCTCAATCCAGTGCTTGGCTGTGGGTCACTGCACCTGCTTCTATCAGTAACTGGGTGTAGGTTCTATCATGACAATTATCTTAGTCACTTGTCACTAATCTGATTAAAGGGGAAGGCCCATTCTGACAATACAGGAGGCACATCTTATATACCAGCTCAGTTTACTGTATCAAGCACACTTAATTCCTTCCAAGTAATTTCCAACCTCTAGGAACAACATGTCCATACATTCTCTCTTCTGATCTAGTCTTCTCTGTGCTTATAAGATAAAAACATTATAAAAATGAGTCCATATGCCCAGATTATTGCAAAAACACAGTCAATATGAAAGATCAAACCAGTGTCTTCTCTCCAAAGACCTACCAGAACTATACAAGTGTTTGCTAATGAGAACTATATAGATGAACCACAGGACAAGTACACATAATTTAAAACAACAATAATATACTTCAGTAAAGAATTCAAGGAATATAAGGAGACACAAAGAAATAGTTAAAGAGACAGAACTGAAGGAGAATAAATACCGGAGTAATGCCCAAGAACACACAAACATATGACTGATGGAAATGACAAATATAGCCATAGATTTCAGAACAGAATTCAATAGGGAGTGAAAAATATGAAGGAGAACTCAAGCTAAAATAAAATCCCCGTAACTGAAGTAGTGAAGTCAGAGGAAAGCCTTACAAGTAGAAAGACTCTAGCAGAAGATAGACTATCAGAATTCAGAGCTAAAGTAGATGATCTAGACCAAGAAAGACAAGCAAGGAATAGGAAAATTTTACAAAAACATGGGGAAGAAACATACAAAGTGAAAAACCAATTCTTCAAATTACAGTCATAGATGAGGGAGAAGTTTTCCAAGTCAATAGCATAGACCAGCTGATCATCAAGAAGATCATAGAAGAAAACTTCCCCAAACTAAGGTAAGGCACACCCATGCAGATACAGTAGAACACAGAACACCAAATAGATAAGAACAGAAAAGAAAATCCCACGGGAATACCACAGTTGCAACACTAAATAACAAAGACAGTCATATTGAAAGCTGCAAGGGAGAAAATACAAGTCACATATGAAGAAAACTCCATCAGAGTAAAGGTAATTTCCTAATGGTAACTTTGAAAGTAAAAAGAGTTGAAAAAATCATCCCAAATCCTAAAAGACTATGATTGCAAGCCTAAACTAATATATGGCTAATGTACCAGACAAAACTATCTGCCATAATTGACAGAAAAACTTTTCATGATATAAATAGTTTAAATGATCTTATATCCAACAAGCCAAATATAAAGAAGGCAACAGTAGCTATATTTTGGACCAAAAAGAAGAATGAGAAGAGTAGTTGTGAAAAGAAATCAAAACCCATAATTAGTCTTTATAAATATACCACTGAGGAAAGAAACAACATAAAAACTATAAAAACTAACAAAATGATGATCACTATTTACACATGTCTCAGTAATACCTTAAAGTATTCATGGCCTCAATTCTCTAATCAAAAGATACAGACTCTGAACAGATGGAGAAGAAAGCTCCACTTATCTGTTGCTTCCAAGAATCACGTCTTAGTTTTAAATATAGAAACAACCCAAAAGTAAAAAGACAGGACCAGGATTCCAGTAAAGTTTCCTTTGCTTATATCTCCCAGAATAGACCTCAAACTACTGATCAGAAACAATAAGGGAACCGCTTCAATTTACCAAATTCTGATGCAACCAATTTCATAAAATTAATGCTTTAAGCACACAGAATAACATCAATCAATTAATAGTAGTTTATTTCTATACATCACTTTCTCCAGTGGACAGGTAATTTAAACAAAAAATAAAGAAGTCATCATTGGAATTAACTGACCTCTTAACAGCTATCTACAGAATTTTCCACCCAAATACTAAAGAATACATTCTACTCAGCTGCATATTAAAGATTTTCTAAAACATGACACATCCTGAGACTGAAAACATACCTTTATAAATTAAAAAGAATTGAAATATTTCCTTGAATTCTATCTGATCACAATGCAATAAAACAAAATTAACAGCAAACAAAACTCTAGCAAATATAAAAACTCATGGAGATAAAACATCTCATCATTGAGTGACAAATAGGGCAAATAAGAAATCAAAGAAGAAATAAACTATTTCCATAAGGTAAATGCATTGAAACCATGATAAAACAAAACCACAAAGACACATTAGCCAAGGAAGTATATTTATAACTCTAGGTTATACATTAAAGAACTCATAATGAATACAAATATAAATGGCTTAGTGGTCTATGTTTGAAAAAATTTTTAAAAATGAGAACAAAACTAACCCAATCTACATTGATAGAAAACAGTAATTTAAAAATCACTGCAAATCCTACCGGCGTGCGTATGTTCATAGCAGCATTGTTTGTAATAGCCAGAACCTGGAAGCAACCTAGATGCCCCTCAACTGAAGAGTGGATAGAGAAAATGTGGTACATTTACACAATGGAGTATTACTCAGCAGAAAAAAAACAATGGAATCTTGAAATTCGCAGGGAAATGGATAGCACTGGAAGAAACCATCCTGAGTGAGGTAACCCAGTCGCAAAAAGACAAATATGGTATGTACTCACTCATATATGGATTTTAGATATGGATCAGGATAGTGCCAGTCTGCACTTCCACAGATAGAGAGTCTGGGAAACAGGAAAGAACCTAAAAGATATGCATATATGCATAGTACCCAAGAGAAGAGGATGGAGACAAGATCCTCTGAATGGATGGGGAACAGGGCGAGGGGGGGTAGTGGGACCTGGGAAGAATAGAGGGGGTAAAGAGGAAGGGAGTTGGTCATGGGGGAACAGGAAGTTGAGGAGGCGGGGGTAGAATAGGGGGAAGAGGGAATCATAGGATCGAAGACAGATCAGGCACCAGAGTGACCTCGAGTGATCTAAAGGTATAACATCAATTGGCAAGCTAAGCAATAGTGG